GGTTGGCTTCATTTGCTACGTCCATCTTTTATACAGTCTATGGCTGAATCACCAGCATGAACAGTGTAAACAGCACTAAACAGTAAAGAAGCAGCAGTTTGGTGCTTTTATATGCAAATCACTGCACAACAGAGACTTTACATGTCCTAAAGTCACCTCAGCTGCAGCTAATTGCAGCAGAAATACGCGTTTCCATTGAAAAGTCTGGATTAACAAGCTGCAGCTGCCGTTTAGATCCTACCAAACATTTGTTTTGGGACATTTTTCCCCACATATTACAGCTGAAGTGACGGCTAAAGACACATTAGCCACCTTATGCTAACATGGAGTCCCAGTTAAAGTAGCAGATTTTAGTTTTTCAGGTAAATTAGTGCACAACAGAGATTCTGTGAAGTCACCTCGGGAGCAGCTAAGAGCAAAGCTAACAGCAGAAACACAGCGTTTGCATTCAAACAGTGACCAGACGTTGTGCTGCAGAGCCACGCTCGGTCTGCAAAGTCTCTCCTGTGTGTAGATTCTCATTTAAAAGCAGCAGTCTGCTTCATTATCTGATTTATTTGCTGTGGCGTCACCTCGGCTGTCACATGAGCGACAACATCTCCAAAACAAGCATTTGAAGGGGTTTAAACGGCAGCTGTTTAGATCAGCACAGGAGGGTCCACGTCAGGGTTCTGCTGATCCCGTCGTAGCTGTCAGGCAGCAGTCGGTCTGTAGCGTGACACCAGTGGCTCAGGTGTTCCACCTGTTGGCAGCAGGCGGGGGGAGGAGCTTCCTGCATGTCGGCACTCGACGGCCCTTCGTGTCACGGCGTGTCCACGCCCTGACCTTCGGCCACACTTCTCCTGCTGTTTGTTACTGATCGTGACTCTGATTTAGAACGAAACAGGTTTTATTATCGGCTCGCTCACGCCCACATCGTCAACATGAGTCCAACCGTCTGAACCCGCTGAAGCTCAGACGTCCCTGAGTTCAGTCAGCAGCAGCAGCCTGTGAGGATTCTGACCTCAGATCAGCTCCTAAACCAACCAATCACAAAAACTACACAACTCATCAGAGTCAGAAGCTGTAGAAGCAGAAATATTCGTTTAGTGTTCAACCTTCTGATGGACCTGATCCTACGTGACCTCTGCTTCTGGTTCTGTTGGAGAATTCACCAACTCTGAGCTCAAAACTGGAATATTTCATCAGAATCCCTGCATTGCACACGTCTGATTTAAGACAGTTTACTGTCAACCACATTCTGTTCAATAAATAAATCCTGTGATCGACAGAAGGACCGTGAAGGTATCGGTGACCCGGCTGCGACCCGAACAGTCGCTCTTCAGTCGAACTGCAGGCAGACGAGAATAAAGAATAAAACATGTCAGGAGTCACATGTTTGCTCCAGCAGCGCTAACAGCTGAGCTGCCTGGATAATAAATGATAGAAATATAAAGAACACCAATCAATAATCCAGAGATTCTACTTCAGTTGTTCCCTTTTTAAAAAAATGATTTTTCACATTTCAACCGTCGTATTGCACATCAGCTGTTTCTATCTAATCAGTTAGTTAATCAGCCAGTCAGTCAGTCAGTCAGTCAGTTAGTTAGTCAGTTAGTTAGTGAGTTAGTTAGTTCTGGTCTGAAACACCGAGCAACCACCTCTGATTTTAAAAACCTGCCATTATGCAGCAAATGTGCAGCAAACCCACGTCTGCAACCAGAACAGAGGCCTGAAGAACACATGAAGCGTCTCCAACCAACAAACTGCTGGAATTAGAATAATGTTCTGAAAACATCTGAGCTACACACAGCAAAACAAACAGGTCCATCAGATCAATGTGCAGCTTCCATCCTGGTCCAGTCCGTCCATCAGTGTTCAGATGGTTGTTATCTTCCGGTCCGACTGAGGTTCTGTTCAGCTGAACTCGGTCCGTCGTCGGTGTATTTGAGGACAGGCTCAGACTGCAGAGCTGGCCGCTGAAATGAGCCAGTCTCACAGTGAAGGACCCCCGAAGCTTTACGAGCCTTTAAACATGCGGTTCGACGTGAAGCGGAGGAACGAATCGATGCAGAACCCAGACGTCCCGACAGCAGAGCCGCAGAACCATCAGTGAAACCAGACCGGAGTTTGTGTTCTGTTCTATTCTTGGAGCTATAAAGTGTTGTAATTAGAATAAAAGACCAGTAATTAGACACGGCTTTGTTTAACTCCACATCCAGACTGCATCAGTCCAGTACAAGACCTGGTTCTGGTTTGTTCTCCTTAATGTGGGCCAACAGCAGCACCACCAACACATCATGTCATCACACCAGCACCTCTGCCCTTTTGCTCTTTAGCTTTCCCTGAACTGTGCAGAGCCAAGTAATAGTCGGGCCCATGATCTGTTTGTACCCGTCGGTTCCTGCATGTATGAACCTCACAGCGTTTAATGGGTTCTTCATGTTCCAGAACCATGTCAGCTGTTTACAGGCTTTAAGCTGAGCCGACCAGCTCAACGTCAAACCCTGTTTCTGACCACACGTCGACCAACATGAAACAGAATCGACGTGACGGAGCCGTGAAAAGAACCCGCTTTGATTCTGGACGTGAGCCTCTTGGGTTCGGGTTTGACGTGATGTTTGAGCAGCTCGGCGACGTTTTACAGGAGAAGCCGAGTGTGACGTTGGAGGAATGTGACGCGTTTTCCTTTTCATGGAAATGTTGACTTTCCAGCCGGTGGCGGACGAGGCGGACGGGTTCAGAGCCGCAGCAGGAATGTTCCATTCCCACGTGGTCCCTGGGTTCTCTCTGCTCGGGCCTTCAGTCAGATAACCAGCTCCTCGGGTTTCTACGTGAGCGAGACAAACGGGATCAACCTTCACGTCAACGATCTCGTAACGCAGACTGCTGCCGTCGCTGTGTGTCTCCAGGAATTAGCCAGGGGTCATGTTCACATAGACCGTCCAACGGCACCGTGTCATCAGAGATGGTTTCAGATCACCAGCGTTTCTTCTTCTTTGTTATTTGGGATCCAAAACTAAATTCTGTACAATTATTTATTTAGTCTGAAATATTGAGAATTTCTCGTGTTTTCAGTCCAGCGGTCTTCAAAGTTCTTTAGAAGTTTAACTCCTGTGGTCTATAAATGTGGTGAAACACACAGAGGTCCAGATTCAAATGATCTGAAGGCTCCAGGAG